GTCGCGAGACGATTATTTCCTATGAGCAAAGTTGAATAAATGCAAAAACATTTCTGCAGCTGGGGATGATTTGTTTTCGCGACTCACTAAATATTATCGAAGTAGAACAAAAACCATCTCCGCGCGTCTGCCATATTGCGCAAAGCGATAAATTTTCAAGTCCCATTTGATTTGTTCCTTTAATACTGCAGCCTCCCATAACTCATCTCGCTTACTCTTGAGCAAAAGCAGCAGCATTTTCCGTTTTCGTCAAATGAATACGAAAGTGGAATTTTATTTTGTTAACTTCCGTGCCGAGAGCGTTTAGTGAAAAAAGTGGAGCTGTCTCAGTTCGGCGACTTGCTGTCAGGGGAGTTGATAATCGTGTGTGTGCTGCAGGGTTGAGCGCGTCATTCGGCGAAAAGGGTTCACTATATGCGTGCTGTGTGTGTGTGTAATACCTGCCTGCCTGCCTGCCTGCATATTATTATGCGAGCGAGCCCGAGAGAGAGAGCAGGGCGCAGAACGGCTATTTGCTTTTCTCGCTCCGCTTAATTAATTTGCGTGTGCGTGATTATCTAATTGCCTCTGCGCGCTCACGGACCACCGAGTCGCGCAAATTAAATCGCCGCCCCACCGAATGTAACGGGGGCTGGCTCGTCGAAAACGACTTTTTTATATATATGTGGGGGCACAGATAATATACACAGGACGTTTTTAATTAAGGCACACTGCGCTTGTGTATACTTTCTCTGAATTACACACCCGTCTAATTAATAAGGATGCGTGTTTATTTTTTGCAAGCACGATTGTAAATATTATATACTCGCCGAGATTATTTTGCGGAGGCCACGCTTCCTCTAATTTTGCCGTCAAATCTGCGGGATTCGGTGGGAAGTGCGCGACGGAGCAAGAAAATAGGATTTTGTCGGTGCCGCCTCCGCCGCCACCGCCGCAGGGTGCCTTTTGCAAAAAAGGACACATCATGAGCGGGAGAGAAAGAGGTGAAAAAAAATATATAGGGGCTTTAGCGACGAGTGTGTGCTGCTTGGGTGGCTCTTCAAATATTTACGCTGCAGGTTATTATTTCAGTCGCTGCGTGAAAAAAGCTGTAATGTTGTTATACTGCTCCTTTTAGCACTCAATAAACTGAAGAGAATTGTTTAAAAATTTCATTGTTGCGCCATAATGAGGCTATTTGCACTGTTTCCAGGCTGTGATTTATGTTTCTATGATTTTTGTGGGTCATCAATTACTTACTTCACCTATTCTTATTGATACTTTTAAATAAGAATTATAATTGTTTATAACTTTTAACCCAAACCAACAATATTAACTAACTGTGAAAGATGAAAAAAAAACACTTTAATAAAAAAAGTCTAATTGTAAATTGAAACCAGGCAAATCATGAAATCCACCCCCTCGTTATATACTGTATTCAATTTAAGGATTAAATCATTTAAATTTCTTTTCCACTTAAAAATAATCCTGTCAGAATTTGCATCCTTCAACAAATAGAAAATATTATTAAATAAATCGTATTTCAAACTTGATCAAAAATCCAGGAGGTAGAATTTTTCTGTATACCTTATTATATATTAAAATTGGCAATACATGCATTTCCTGCCTACCTATTGATATCAAATATAAAAATAAATAACGTATTCTGCCTAACAGAACGCCGAAGATCCCCTGCTTTTCAATAACACAAAATAACGCCAAACTTTGGCGGAGAAGAAAGAGCCCTCCATATTTGCCTTGGAATCAATGCTCTTATGAACCCTTGGCAAAGGGCACACACATACAAAAGTCACCGCCGGCGTCGGTGTTCTGGGAAAAATGGCTCCGGCGAACTTTGGCATCGCCTTCTGCATGCTAGCAAATAGAATCAGCGAGAGAAAATCAGCCGAGCAGCGAACAGAACACATATCGCCGGGTGCTGCGAAGAGGAGGCGGAGGAGGACGCGCGATTCGGCACGATTTTATCCGCAGCAGCAAGTGGCTGGAAAAGCTTGAGAATTATTCGAGTGGGTCCGAACATCGCGGAGTAAATTCTCGCAGCTACTATCTTTCGGCCGATGAATCTTGAATCTGTAGAAGATTTTCACGATGAGGCCGATTTCGTTTAAAATTCGAAGAAAGAAACAAAGCATAGGAAATAAATAAAATAAATTAATAATTGTTCAGGGAATAAAAAAATCATTTTAATTGACCTCAAATTTAATTATGAAGAGATCTTTCTAAATTATGTAATAATTTTGCAACGGTTATTTACAGTTTCCAAACCTCTGCAAGGCTTACCTGTAGTAAATTTGTGATAAGTGATAGGAACAAAAACTTACAATTAATCAACCGAGGCGAGGCTCACTATGCGGCGGATGGGGTCTTGTTGATCTCAAAAGTTTTAGCAACATTCTTGCTTGTGGTAGTGCCGTTTCGTACAACAATTCTTTTTTTAAATAATTTGTTTTTAACAATCGAATGGAAACAATGAATTATAACATCTGTACAAATAAACATAAATAATATGTGAGAATAAATACAACCTTAATGGAAAAATTTTAAAATAATACTTATTAGTCTTGCAACTTTTTGAGATTATTTTTTTAAATCTTATATTTATTTCCCGTTTTATTTTTTTAAATTTACATACAATTTACGTAATTTATTTGCTGTTTCTCCATTGAATCTTACTTTCTTGCTTAAAAACTGCCACACCTGTAGGGCTTTCAGAACTAAAATTGCCTGAAAAGTCAAATTCTTTTGGAAATAATAAAAAAAAAATTTTTGGCAATAATTTCAACAACCAATTTTAATTTTTTAAAATTAAAATGTCTTAAATTTCACGCTTGGCATCTGTGATGTGAGAATCCATACTAGATGTACAATATTCGGACCCACCCTACTTTTAATATTCGGAGATGAATTAAACCTGCTCGCTCCCCCCTGATGGCACGCTTTGATGGGTTTCTCTCTCTCTTTCTCTGTCGGAGGTGCCCCTGCCGTCGGACAATGCACACCAATTCACACATACGTAGCATTTCTCGCGAGAGCGCTGCAGCGTCAGGGCCTCCGAGTAATAATAAAAGCGGCAGCAGCAGCCGTTGTGGGACGAAACGGTGACCACCACCACCACTGCCACTTGTTCTCTCCTGAGGAGAGAAATTTCTCGGTCGGTGCCTGCTGGTGCTTTGTTGTCGGTCGCGAGAAGAAGTGCATCTCGCCCGATTGGACGGCCCCACCGAGCCATGAAAAAAAAACATATATACCTCTAGCTCGATGGGGCAGTTATTTTAAATAAATAAAACGCTCTCGACTGTGTCCCACTTTTCTAGGAATTCAACTTTACAAAAAAAAAAGCAAACAAACATGCTTCGAAAACAGGGTCTATTTACGAGCAAACTTTTTTCCAACTACGAGGGGCTATCTGCATGTATCGAAACTTTCCTTGAATGCAAACGTTGGGAATTATATGCTCTGGCTGTGGAGGAGTCGACATCAAATGCACCAGATGCACTCCATCCATTACGCCTCCAGATCGGGTCGAAGGGGATTTCGTGCCTTGCTTTTTAATAAGTGGGAACGAGCCGATCAGTTCTTGCTGTGTGCCCTATTTTCCTGCAGCTCGTTATGCCATGGCAGGGAAATGTGATACTTTATTTTATCATAACGATTTTCTTATGCAGTGCTCGGTGGTTGATACACACACGCTCCGAACGAGTTAATTAAATTTTTATACTGGCGAAGCAACTCCCGTGGAAAGTGCACTCGCTGGATGACGCTTTTGAAAGTTAATTAACTGCAATTCACAGAGTTCATTGTTTGCACTTTGCTATTCATATTATCCTTTAATAGAGCGCTTGATCACGGACCGCTAAAAAATTAATTAAAACTTATATGTAAAATCTTGCACAGTTTAGTTTGTTTATTTTTGTTCATAAATTAAAATTATGCAAAAGGAAAAAATAAATAATGTGGAAGCGGATAATATCGATATGAAAAAATTGACCACGCAAATATATTTGACGTAGCGTTGCAGGACTTGCAGGCAAATTCATTGGATGAATGTAAATAATCTTCAAAACTCATATTTGGATATTGAAAATTTTATGAAAATTCACCTCATTTTAAGGAATAACTTAATTTTAGATAAACACACTATGATCACTATGAATAATTGCTGGCAACGTCAAATTCCAAATAAATCTTTACTTTTAATTTTTTTAATAACCAATTTTAAATAATGGTGAAAGTTTTAAATTTCTACAAGTAAATATTCACGAAAGTGTAAATTCAATAATATATAAATATCATCAAATAATTTGCCGTAAAACCATATCATATAGAAAAAAAAATTAATCATATATTTATTAAAAAAAACATTAAAATGAGTGACCTACTATGTTAATAACTGTCTGGAATTATAACTAAATTTACTAACTTTTTAATAAATATTTATGTTAACCCAGCTATATTTAGCTTTAAGTCTTAACGATTATATCACCAAATAATTAAAAAGCAATTTTTCTTTCCTCCCGATTATATCAGAAAGATATTCAGCACTAATGACTTTCAAATGAATGGAATCCGTGTTCAACGCGGTCTCCAGTTATTATTTCTTCCTTTCCGTGTTTAATTACACCAGTGATGATATATTTAATAGCGATACGGCACAAAATGATGACCTAAATTCCTGGAATAACCTTTTTCCAATCATATTATATTTTATAATTCGTGGTTCAGCACTTAGTTTGATCAGCAAAACCGCAAGAGACTTATAAATGATTAATCATACACAATCGACTGCGTCAGCCTTTTCGCGAAGCGCTCGCTCATATTCGCGCGCGGTAATCAAACAAAACAGCTGAGAGCGTGTGCGCTACACACGCGGCGGATAACATAATATTACCGCGGCGAAAAAGCCAGCCAAGTTTGCAAACAAACGGGAACAAACAAAGCAATATATACGTAGCAGGAATTAATTAAAATCAAACAAGAGCACGGCTTTTTGAAGGGTTTGATGACTTTTATTTATCAGTCATACAAACAGTTGTTTGTTTCCAATTAAAATAATATATACTTTCCATCAGCAGGCATATGAAACATACCGTGTCTGCGCGCCCTTCTCTATTATGGCTATTTTTTATACATCGAGGCGCTCTCTCATCTCTCCAGTTTTTATTCAAAGTTCGTATATTTTTTTTTTACAATTTTTGCGATCACCAAAAGGGGGAACAATCAAGTGTGTAGTTAATTAGTTACTGACTGAGATGCTGGGGTTTGAGATTTTTTAATCATGCACGTACACACTGGTCGAAACGAACAAATAATCACTGTTGCTATTTCATTTTGCAGTTATGTATATAATAATCTATGGCTGAAAGTCACAGTTTTTGTCTCTAATACATAATTTTTTTTCTTGCATTAAAAGTAAAAAATGTAGAGGTTTTAAAATCCAAACTTCACGTCCGAAAGTTTTCCCCTTTATGTACACAGAGTTCTTGTCAATCGATCGGAGAACAGAGCGATTTTTGCATGATTTTTCTTATTCTCTCTCCACAAAGATTTAAACGTGTATTAATTTTTCTTTATTCTTTCCTCTAACAATATACATAGTGGCATTGGTCAAATATAAAAACATTGAGCGTTTTTCTCGTAAGTGTGTGAGAGTTATTTTGTTCCGAACCCTGGCGACATAATTTTTAATCCAACAGAAGCTCATTGGAGTGAAATTCACCAAGAGCTTTTAATATCTTTTGCGTCACAATATATAGAGGCCGAATCGAAGAGCTAATCAATCATCTTCGGGTTAGGACAAAAAGGTTTTGAGATGAGACAATATCAATGTGTGGCGATCCGCGTCCAACACGAGATCGCTACCATAACATACTTTTTGAGTTTTTTGGTCAGCGTTACGATTTAAGCACTTCTTTTTTTTTGGAACTTTTAGTTAGGAGGAGGGAAAGGATGTAGCAGGGAAGGGCGTTTTCTCTCCTAATTAAGGGCAATTACAGGGCTGGAAACCGTTGACCATCATTAGGAAATCAAAAATTCCGATGGCCTTTTAAAAATTTTAGTGGTTTTCATCAAAGTGATTAGAGGATATTATGTTTGAAATCCTCATGACAATGGCCACCAGAATTTGCGTTTTCATATCTCATTAGGCTCGATGTGTACGACTGCCAACCCTTTGAACGGTCATCAATAACCGCAAAAATGTGCGCAGTGGCGAACTGGCACCCGGTTCAGCAACGTACTTTTCCAAGTGAAAATGTCGAGTTTATCAACCCTTCTGCTGCTGTATTTACAGAGCGTTGGTCGGCAACAGAAAACCACAGATGCGATTTACGACTCGGCAAGAGAGAGTTGCCGGCCGGCCGGGTGAAATAAAACTCGAGACGTTGCACGTACGGAGAGTTCATGCGACCACCACTTTGGAGGAGAATAAATGCGCGCTCCTCCGTGTTTTGTTTAAATGTTAACGAAGGAGAGGAGGCACTTAAAGGGACATCAATCCAAGGGCGGATTGCGTTGGAAATGGCTCCAATTAAAGGACGGCCGAGCTTTTACGGTTATCGATTTTCGTCCGCGGAATTTAAAATGGCAACTAAAAGGGGATCAAACGGGAATTAGTCGTAGGTCTCGTCTATTACGGGCAGGGCTAAATTTTTTATTTTGGGACGGAAAGGGAGGCTGGTTTTAATTATAGAAAACGTAAACCTTTCGCGGAGAGAATTCATTTTACGGCGTGCTCTTTCAATAAAACCGTGGGATTACTCAAACGCTTTTACGTTAATAAGATTTTTATTTTTTCCCGTCGGCAAGAGTGCGGCGACGGTGAACGGGAGCTGAGTGATTTTCATAATACATCTTGCTCGCAGATTAAAAATCGCGCGCTCCTCTCATATAGAAAATGCGCGTGTGTCTCAAAAGCAACAAGTTTTGGGGGCGCGCGGCATATATAAAAAATTAAAAAGTTTCTCTCGTGTACAAGAGAAGAGAGGATATTAAAAACGTGCTCTTCACTGCGGATTTCTGTCGCCAACTGCTCATCGTCTGCGCGCAAAAAAAGATATAAAACATAAGGAGCCAAAATCTGCAAAATCAAAATAAAAAAGTGACAGGAGAAGAAGAAAAGTGGTGCTGGAGGAGTTGTGAGTGCCGTTGGTTTCGTATAAATCCTCTTTCTTTGGTTTGTCATATAATCAGGGATGAGAATTATAGTCAGAATTGTTGTAAAATATTTGACGGTTGCTGGAAAATACCAAATCCCTCTTTTTCTTTAAAAATACTAAATAAATTAAAAGTGAAATTTTCGACACAATATTGATTATTATTTGCAACTAATAGTACGTTTTAGTTGCGATTTTTAAAGAAATATTTTAATTGCAGCCAACAAACTAAAATTCTCATCCCAGCAGGTAACAATAATAAATGCAACAATAATAGTGAGACTACTCGCTAGATAGAGAGAATCACGCACGCTCATGTGTACAAACAACGAATCTCCCGTGGATCACTGCACTCACTATACTCTTTCTCTCTCATTGAATAATTTTGCTCGTTCGCGGCTGCGGACGCTGCTCCGGTGGCAGCAGCACAGTAAAGACACCGAAACACTCACACGCATCAGGTTGAAAGACTGCTCGCGCACTCAACGGGGCCCGTTATACTCGGAGCTCGTCGATAGAGTTCGCCAGGTGGGACACCTTGCCGTGCAGGTTGGCCTTCTTCAGGGTGGCCGTGTTGCCGGCGGCCGGCGAGCCCTGCTGCTCTTGCACGTGCGTCCGCGAGCGCTGCAGCGTCCCGGAGGCGGTGACCATGACGGCCGGGGGCGGCATCCCCCCGGTGGCGGACAGAAGTTCCGGCGGCGGGGCGGCCGCCTTCGGAGGTGGCGGCGGCCGCGGCAGGGTGTGGTGGTGGTGGTGGTGGGGGTAGTAGTGGGCCGCGGGCAGCACGTCTGCAAACTCGGGGGGCGGCAGTTGGGTCTGGCCGCCGCCCCCGCCGGGGTCGGGGGGTTGGTGCTTGCTGGTCATGGCGGCGGCGGCGGCCGCCAGTTCGAGCTCAGCGCCGTGCATGCCGGACATTTGGCCGCCGTTCTCGTTGCGCCGCTTCACCTCGACCTTCTGCTTGTCGCGCTGGTAATAAACCCCTGCGAAGATGAGCACGTTGAGGATGAGCAGGGAACAGCCGATGGCCACCGTGACGGACAGGGCCGTCGAGTAGACGGCAAAGCCATCCTCAGGCTGGTCGCCGTTGTCCGGTGTGTGCAGCGACTGGACGTTCTCTTCGATTTTGGGACTCGAGGTGACCCTGGTCATGACGGCCGCCGTCAGGTTGAAGCCGCCGCCGCCCTGGCTGGGCACGGCCGTCCCGCCGGGCATCAGACTCGAGATACCTGGCCAGATCGACTTGGGCAGGGACGGAAAGTAGCTGCGCTGCGAGGTTTCCGCCTCGTCCTGGCTGTTGAGCAGGTGGTGCGACGCGGGGATGTCCGGCCCCCCAGGACGGTGCAGGTCGGGCACCAGGTTCAGCCAGAAGGACAGCCGGTGCGCTCGGTAGTGGTTTTTCAACTTGGGCTTCGTGTCTGTAACAAGACAATTGGAAAGATAAGTTTTAGTTTTGATAATCTTAAAAAAAAAATAGAAATAAAAAAGAAATAAATGAGAATAGCCCTTGAAATATATAAATTATTGAAGGTTTTTCAAAAATAAGAAAATGCCAATTTTTAGCAACGTTCACAGAACGATTTATCACTTCAACAAAGTGGTGTTAACGGTTAAAGGAAATGAAGAGATTGGGCTTTTCCTCGTTGTGAAAATTTTTATCTATATTATTCTTGTATTAGTCAGCGTGCTCATGAAATAGGTTGGTACTTGAATTTCTTAAATTTTAAGATTTAAATTTTAAGTTAAAATGTGTGCGTGTGTTTTTTTTTCAATTTTGCTGATTTTTGTATTTTTCTTGCTCATGATATGGGTCGCAGACCGTGAACAAAATTGGTATAGAGCCGTTTGTTTTTTAATTAAAATAATTTTCGCATCAAGAGTAAAAGTCCGACCTCTACATTTCAATGATCATCTCCTCGAGTGACAATTTCTTCAAACAGATTAAGATTAAAAGGAAATTTTTTTCCTTAATTCTATTAAAAACAATAAAAATATGCAATATTTTGTTTTGTTTTAAACGTAAAATATTTAAATTATAAGATGCAATTGATTTGGTACCAAATATTATTTAAAAAAAAAATGTGAATAAGTGCCTCTGAAAATTTTATTTTATTTTATTTTTAAAATTTGGCTACCAATTTGCTTGAAATTCAATTAGGTATTTAGAAAAAAACTGTATTTCCTAGTCGCATTCCTTCCTCAAACCAAATAATTGTGTGCATTTTATTCAAAGGGGCGAAACATTCGCTACTAGTTCTTCAAGTCTGAAAAGTTTAAAACTCAGAAATGTAAATATATCATAATATGCTGCTTGAATATTACTTTGCACTCACTCCACATTAAATATGGCAATACCTAATAATAGAGGATGATGTATTTGGGCAGAGAATGCCCGGTGGTACATTAATAAACACAATTTGCAACTAAAGGATATTAAATCGAGCGCGAATTGAGTTCTAATAGGATTAACGCATTACCTAATTGCCATATAATGCAGGCTAAATGTTAAATTTTAGCTGAACGGGGGGTATAAGTTTCTGGCTCACATGCGGTTGCAGGTCAACTCTCAAGGAAACGGAATTTTGGCTTGCAAAGTTTGAAACGAATTTTGTGTAATTTGATGAATGGCTAATTCCCGTGTAGCCCTTTAGAAATGAATTTTCTTTGTTTCCCGTTCTTGTAATAGGCCGTGTTGAGAGCACTTCTTGTATAATACGCGCGTCCGTTTTGTCTGCGCCCGTTATTATATATTCTTCTCTCTCTTCTCGCGCGGAGAGTAACAAGTTCGAAAATGAGTGTTAAACGCCAGCTGTTTAACAAGGGAGAGAGCAACAAACTTTTGCGCTCTCATGAATATTGCAGAGTGCAATCAAAGTTTTAATTTTTCGCCGAAACCCCGAGTCGTTTACGACTTTGCGAAAGGTGCGTGCAAGATATGGGAAGGGACTTTCGGAGAGAATTTGCGGAAATTCCCGTGAGGCGAAATCTCATCCCTTCCGACAAGCGCTGCCTAATCCAGGCTCAATATCCTGGAAAACGTTCCCTTTCCAGCGAAATTCCCAGTCGACGCCAATATCTCCTCGCACTCGCTCTGCTGCGCGAATATTGAAACGGGTGTGGGAGTTTGTTTTGCGCGAGGAGTAGCGGCGGCACTTGAATGTTGAAAAGCTCTGCTGCCGCTCTTTGTGTGCGTCTCCGTGTTGTATGTATGTCATTTGAATTCAGCGAACATTGTTCGCCCGCAATATGTTATACACACACATATACAATTTTTGGCGCTCAATCAAAATGAAACTCATAAAAATTGCGCAAACCCGCTCCTAAAGATAAAAGTAATATCGGGCGAGACCCCGAGGTCTGCCCTTTTTCTCTTTGAGAGAGAGAGTGAAATTGATTTGCTCGAAAAATTACTCGGGTGCATTATGTTTCTGGCCGGCGGAGAGTGCAATAAAACCTTCGGAGAACATCACGCCCGTACTTTATATACCGGTCTCGGATCGGAAAAATCGTGCGCGCCCTTAAAAGTTTATTTCTTATATCCTTATACAGCAGAGTGGTAGGCAAATTTTATGGCCACAGCAACTCTGCTGCTGGTGTATCTCTTTTTGAGCCCGAGAATTTCGTGCAAATCCATAAGCCCTTAAAGTTTCGGGTTATACGCTCGGGTTGGTTTGTTTAGCAAGTCGGCGCGAGGGCTCTCCAAACTGGACCAACTTGCTCTTTTCAATTTGGCCGTCGTGCCCAGCAGCCGTGCGCCGCACCTGCGAAAGGGTGCATGCAGTAATTGAAGAGCGAGCACTTTCCAAGAGTCGCTCTTTGACATTTCGCTCTAATTGGAATACTAGACAAATTACGGCGACTACAAATTACTTCCTCAATAATTTAATTGAATTGCGGCATTCGGCCTTGCGGCCGAGGAAGTTTGTCTTGTTAATTTACAAAGCAAAGAAACAATACCCGAGAGGACCAAAACCAAATAAAACGAACCTCAATTACTCTTTGTTGACAAAAAATTGCCTATAAAAAATAAAAAAAAATTGCTAAATTTAGTGATAAAAATAAATTTGACTTATAACGATTTATGGAACATTATTAAAAGAAAATCTAAGTACTTTTAAATATAAACCGAATTAATTTCTAAAATTTAACTTTTCTTATTTTTTTTTAATATTTGGCTAGCGAACATAAATTATTTTTACCAATAATATAAAAATTTCCTGTTATTAAAAATCATAACAGTTAATAATATTTTAGAACATAAATATGATATTTATTAATACTATGGGGGTTTTTTTTTGGTTTGGGCTAGTTGCATAAATAAATTTCCTATCCTATCAGAAACAACTGAGCATCGTCATTATTCATAACTAAAATAAATAAAATATTTTGAATATGTATTGTAAAAAGCATTTAAAAACTCTAAAAATATTTAATTTAAATCAATAAAAAATTTTCTTTCTTTAAACTAAAATTTTGCTTGGAAAAATAATCAGTTTTATTAAATGACAAATTCAATTTTGAATACTTCTAGGCTAAATTTGAATTGAAGCAAACTGCAATTAGTAAATTTATAGACTAGCGCTACACAACGAGGTGGTTGATAAATGATAAGGGAGAGCAAACGTCGTAAATTCCGGCAGGCAAGCAAGAGTTGACCTTATCGCTCATAGTAGCTCATCCTTGTTTGAGAGGAGAGCCCTGCCCGGTGCTATCTTTGGGGGGAGAAGCGTTTGTGTGCATGCAACTGGCAAAGCAAAGCAAAGATATTCTCAATATGTTTGCGAATTTACCAATGCCGAGGTACTTCTTGTGCACGGCCTCGTAGGGCGGCCACTCGATGTTCCTGAATCGATTTCTCTCGCTCCTGCCGCCGTGCAGTATCGCCGCCGCGTCTGGCTCGAGCGGCTCGTTCGGGTTCCTGTGTACACATTATCAAGAGTGACAAGGGGTTACCTCTGAGACGCTCCTGTATTCTTTACGCGAGACACACTCACCCCGTGCGCGCGAAATTGCTCCAGTAAATCATGACGGCCTCCGAAAGCTGCACCTCAGCCTTTGTGTAGTTGCGAGGGAAGTGCGAGAGGCCGCCCACCAACGGCGCGCCAAAGATGTAGGGCAGCTCCTCGCCGTGCACGCACCCCTGCCGCTGAAACACAAATTCGCAAAATTATTCTCGCTGCATGTTGACAAGACTGGTGAAAAATGGTCCCACTTCCTTTGTGATATAACAAGCAACTTGTTATGCATAAATGTCATGTTCCCAAAAGTTTGCAAAATTACCCATTTTATTTTGTTAAATTTTATCACAATCATTTTGATACAATTGAAAATAAGGACTTATTTATCAAATAGATACGTGGTGGTTTTTTGTTGTCATTTTCTCAATGACGACAATCTCAGTTTCACTTTTTCCCGTGAAAACATGAACCCAATTTTTTAGCAATATAAAATAAAAGTTATTTTACTAATAAATGAAATAATTGAAAATTTATAAATTTAATAAATGAAATAATTGAAAATTTATAAATTTAATAAATGAAATAATTGAAAATTTATTATTACCTTTTCTTAAAATTGAACAAGTTATATCAAATTTATTATTGCAGCAATAATAGCGAGTTAATTTTTATGCACATATTTAACAACTATTTTATCAAATGAAATACGAGTGTTAATAAATAACCAAAACAGCATTATGAGGAAATTTACTTATCCAAAATAAATTTAGCAAAATAACAAAAATCGAATTTTTTAACAACAGTTGAAAGGATACGTTTTAAAGGAATTTTTGTGCGATTTCTTGGTGCAATATAGACGCGATAAGATGCTGCCCGCATTTGAAGCTTAAAGCCAGCCCGTGTTTGCTGTTAGTTAATTAAATCAGTCTTGTGTAAATTTTGGGTTAACCTCGATTACAAAATGTATTCAAAATGTGGTAAAGCGGTAGTTAATGTGACCTTCTCTCCCACAAATGTGGACTGATGATTAATATATAAAGCTTGTCAGCCTAAAATTGGTTGCAAATTGTCATTAAATAGATTTTGACAAATTTAAACGAGGCTTAATAAACTCGTTTAGCTTTTTACACTTTTCAATGTTAGAGCAGCCTTCAGTAATGATGGAAATAAAATATTTAAGAAATTTTGAAGTAAGAATTTCCACCATTTTAAAGAGAAGATTCTAAAGTAAAAGAACCTATCTTACCATAATCCATTAAATTTTTTAGTTTAGACTAGTTTTAAGATTTTGACAGCTTTAAAAAAGCATTAAAAAGTGTATATTCGAATCAAAACGGGAACACAGTTATAAATTTTCTGTTGGTATGCAAGAGCAAGAATAAATATTTTTTAATCAAAGAAGAAACTTTTTTCAAAAAGTGTTTCGTAAAAATATGGAATTTATTAAATTTTTACATTAAGCCACTATTTTAGGAGGTGAAAGCAGCTTTTCCTGGAATTCTAAATAATCTGCCAAATTCAAAGAGATTTTTACCCGGAAAATTCGTTTTTGACACATTTTATGAAGTCCTTTGACACAAAAAGAAACCAATTTTAGATTGAAATATGAGAGAATCGGAGCTGGAAAGGAACGTCGCTGCGCGAGTTTAATTAAAATAGTTGGCGTTTAATTTGCAAAACGAACCCCTACGCGTTCGAAGGGGAAGTTTCTGTTGAAAAACGAGTGCTCTCTCATGAAATTAATTGGATTTCTCGAGATTAATACACATTCAGGCCGGCGGCGTGGTACTTGCTCTCTCCCATCTCGTGTAGCAAACTTTGTTGAGCAAAAGTAAGTGTTGCACGCCACGATGATAGCCGAGCCACTCGTCTCTCTCAAGTTTTTAATTTATCCTTACTTTTCCGGACGGCTCTCTGCTTATCAGGTCATCATCGTCATTAAGGACGCTACGTATTGTGAAACTTTGCAAATCAGTTCAACTTGTGAATTTATTATATGAAGAGCGAGAAGCACAGCACAGTTTTATAAATGTATGAGAGGGCTTTTTGCGTGATTGCCTCGCTCGCCCGCCGAATATTGTGCACTAGTTTTTTACTGCCAACTTTACGGCTTCATGCGCGAAATTATTTATTTGAGTTTCATGTGCTCTCTGGTGTGTCCCGCTATACAAAGTTTGATACACACGTTGAAAACTTGAGAGGACTGAAAGTTTTTGAGCTATTTTACTATTCAAATATCGATTCGGTGGTGGAAAGAGAGAGAGAGAGCTTTTTGCTTTCTGCATAAATTAAGGGCTCGTCAGCAGAGCGGGTTGGGTGCGTGAAATGAGAAAAGTCCGCAAACTAGCATTTCCACCTTTTTACCCCGGCTCACATGCAAGAACGGCCGCTCGCTCTCTCTCCGCGTTTTTAATCATTTCCGCTGATGAAAATGCGCTCCAAACGAGAGAGAAAAGCAAATAGCAAAACCCAGAGCCCAAATCCATGCAGCGCATAAAACTCTGTAAAAATACAAACACCAGACCGTCCTTAATGCATCAATGGTGATCTATGTCATCCAAAGGGAATATTGGCTTTTTTGCTATCAGGAATTTTTGGTCAGTTTTTAAATTTCATGTCTTTTTTTTAGCAAAATTTTTAGGGTTGATTTTTTTATTTAAGATTTTTGATAATTAATAAATTTATAGTTATTCCTAAATTTATATTTTTTATTTTATTATCTGATGAAGATATGTATTTAAAATCACTAGAATATCTTTTTGTTCTTTTTAGCAAAAAATTGTAGTTAAATTTAATTTTTTTTTTTATTTTGTAATCACCAACATTAAGTCCTTAAGGTATAAGATAAAAATCTTAATGATACGGCGGCTAATTCGACTATTTGAATGAATTATACTTTACATTATTAAAAACTAGAAACTTTCTATTTTATTTAAGCAAAAACACAATTTTCATTTATCAATACTTAATTTATGTAAAATCATGTTCAATTCAGTTGATACTAAATATTGATTTTAAATTATACAAACAAATAGCAAAGCTCTGAGCCATTATTGGCGATTACATCAAAAATATAATATTCGGTTTTTCTCCTAATTTTATTGCTAATGTCAAAAATTTAGGACATTCAAAGCAAACTGCAAATTGGACAGCGAAATCGCTTGCATAAATTCCAATAAAAAGAAGCAAACACAAAATTATTCCAGACGCGCGCCTTTGCAAATGATTCGTGAGCAATGGACGTGATATAAAAAAGTGAAAAAGTAATCTGGGAAAAAGCATTTTTGTCTGACCTGAGGGAAATCTCCGAATTTGGTCTGGTAGTCGAAGACGTAGAAAAACGAGTTGGAGGGTCTGGAGACGGAGTGGAAGTCGCCGGTGCGCACGAGTGGCGCCACCACCTGCGCGTCTCCGAGGGCCTCCATCGTCTCGTCCCTGATGTTGATCGGGTGCTGCACGGGTCGTTCCCAGTCCGTGTACTCGTTCACCACCGTCGCCAGGATCTCGTTCTGGTGATACCTGCCGACACGAATTGAGCCCCCGGAAGAGCTGAGAGTCACGACCGTCACTTTTATTATTTAGCGCCCACCTGTAGGTGTCCCTGACGAAAGCTTTCAGCAACTTTCCGCGACGCTCGCTTTCGATCCCGTACTGGATGTCTTCCGCCGCGAACACAAAGTACGCCTCGGCGCGCACCACTCCAAACAGCAGATCGTACCTGAAACCAGAAACAAATACACAAGAGGTTTATTACCGTTTTTCTTATTCTCACAATAAAAATAAAATAATAATAAGTTAAATTATTAAATTTTAATTTTCTCTGATCTGAACAAATATATTTAAATTTTTTTTAAACACTAATAAAAATTCACTGAAATTAATATTGAAGATATAATTTTCAATCACTCCAGTACAGGAGTGTAAGATGCAACTTAATTGCTTATGGAGTGATCAGAACGGCGATGGAGCTTGTGCGAATTTTTATGAGATAGGAAAACAATAAAAGCATGGAATTGCACTATTTTTGTTTTAAATAGAGATAATCGCACTGTGTAAATTGCTTTTGAATTTTTTTCATGAGTTGATTACATTAATTTCCACGGTAATTTTGACTGAAATTATTTTAATTCTGTCTGTTTTATTTTATATAGCGTAATGTTTGGATAGCCATGCTATCACGCTTGCGGCTGGGTAAATAAAAAAATACCAAATTTGTTTGTATGGCCAACCCAACTAATCTGAACCATCGATATGGACTCGTTTGCTCACAAATTCAAGCAATTTAATTTCAAATACTTGTTATTTTAAAAATATTTTCATTGATAAATTTTTTTGTTTTAAGTTGAACTGATTTGTTGTTATTATTTAAATAAAAGTCACAGAGTGTGATCAAAAATGGAATAAAATTCTGTCTCATTTAAATTTAGTTTTGCAACAAAAATTAACAACCAAATTTTATCAAGAATAAATTTTTATCTTTATTGTGCCTTGTGCCCAATTTTTCTCAAATTATTTTTTATTTATTGCTCCATTACTACTGTTTTATTTGTATTATTTTATTCATTTTAAATGTTCCCATAATGCATTTTGATGATGAAATAAAACCCAATGAAAATTATTCAAATTAGCCACAATAAAATTTTATATACATCTCCTGTTGCAACCAGCGTTTAGCCAGTATAGGCTTCATAAAAAGGGAAAATATAAATAATTTAAATATATATGAATAAAATATTAGGAAGTTCAAACAGGATTGTATCGATCATGACTATCAAAAGTCAAATACATTTAAAAAATCATTCAATTATATCTTACTGACGTGCACAAATATTCATACAACGCATCCAACATTTAATTAATAATTCTTTGTTTGATCAAGATGAGTTTATCCGTTTATCCTCAAATTATAAATTTTCCTACAATCCACTCATCCATTTTGAAGCTGCGAAATCCAACTCTTTCCTTTCATTTTTAATATGGCTGATCAAACATTGAACGGGAAAGCTGGAAAAGCGGGGGGTTGCAAGTGGCGCTGAACTAATATTTATACTGCGCCGCGAGAGCGGATTTATTCAAAGCTGCAACTACTATGGCTCGTGTTTCCCCAACACAGTTATCTTAACTTTTGTAACAGCCGAGACTATATGTCATTTCCCCAAGATCAACAAACAGGGAGCGAATAAGAAAGATGCGGTCCAATTTCTGGCTTTTAAGTCCATTCGAGGGAGGCGGGCCCACATTATGTGAGGCCTTTGTGCATCGCTCATAAAAGAGAACGACGGCAGTTTAATGCAAATAAATTCCTTCCTCTTTTTGTGTCGGGCTGCGATTTGTGCACGGTGACTGGAGTCGCCGCCGAGTTAGTTCGACTCTATTCACCGGCAGCCGAGCGTGAACGAGGGGTATCAGTGTCCTGCAGCCTGCGCAACATAAATGCCCCGCTTGTTGCATAACTTTCGTTTAAACGCTTCCCGTCGCTTCGGTTGGCTCGCATTATATTAGCACGGACGGACTTCCAACTCTCACTAGGGTAAATTGCAGAATGGAATTGCGGAGCGGAATGGATCTTGATGTGATTATTATCAACGCTCGTTGACTTTGAGATCGTTTACACGTCGATTGGCAGACAAAACTTCTTCTTTGAGATTCTGCGCTGCAAAACTTTGACTGCGCGAATTTAGGCGGGCGAGGAATTGAGGTGAGAAGAAGGTGTAAATTCGGACGACCGTCCTAACATCTCGCTTTGAGGATTGCTCAACTTGGTAAACTTGTTTTGAACACGCACTTGGAGTTTGTGAGTGTCTGCTGGCGGGAGAGGGGTGATTTTTTTGCCTGTTTTCACCCCGCAGGCCTTTCAGGAAAGGTTAGGGGTTTCCGTGCCATTGCGGAACACAAAGGAAAAAATGAGGAAGATTTAGGAGGACATAAAACAATGAATAATTGATGAGAGCGAAAAAGTCGTTTTTGGAGAGATAATGTTTCATTTTTGTGGTCTTGTGGCAAAAAATTGGATTTGAAAAATAGGTGATCACCAATTTTTAGAAATAAAATTCATAATTGAACTCTAGCTCATGTTCTTTTTTATAATTGAAATTTTTTTGCATTATTTGGAATCAATATCTTTGACATTTAAGACATTTTTAACATCAAATCACAAAATTTATTTTATAAATAAATTTAATTTCACTTTCAGATAATTTTAAAATAATAAAAGACATAAATTTTTCATTTCTTGCAAAATTAGAGTAGCCCATTTTAAATGTGTTACAAAGTATCAAGAATAAAAATTTTACTCGCTAAAAATTTGTTGTTTATTAAAAAAGCGGCTCTGCTTCGACCTTATTTCATAAGCACTGCTCGCTGACCAAGTTTTTCAACAAGGAAAAAGCACGTTTTCTTCACTTCCATATCTTCAAGTGCCAACTTCTTCACTAAAAAACCTTTTCTTTTAATTTATCACCTTTTGTTGCTTGACGTTTTAAAAAGTAGGTCTGCTGTATAACTGTTTTAATCATGATGTGAGTAACCACAACAAGATAACTAAAAGAAAATGATGTAAAATTAATTTACTAAAAATATACTCAAGTATATATTTGGTCAAAAGATTCCGAAAATGATGCCAAAATTGTCACTCTTTAAGGTGTTTATAGAATAGAGTGGAGCAATTTCAACCACAAATCGTGCAATTAAACAGCAGTTCTCTTTCAAGAAGGTCCAACAATTTCCTTGCAAAAGACCGCAGACGCCGCGGTCATGAAAAATAGTGGCGTTCATTAACATATCCTCTCCTCGCCTGCTTTGGCTCGAGACAAAAACGCTGTCTTAAAAGCGGCGGACAATATTGTTTTGCGCAATTATTTTAAAAGTCTCTCGCGAAATAACTTTCAATTAGGCGACTTACGCGGACCATTTCGCCCCACTCGTTTTGGCAATAGCGCAAATTTCAAGAGGGGCTTATATCTCCCGCTGGCGAGAGAGAGAGGCTCTTTCACAAAGTCGGATTAAAGAAAATGCGCGATGAAGTGGCAAGATAAACACCGGCTTAATTGGATGAGAGAAAAATAGCAAGCGAATATATTCTCAAACAAAATCTTGGCGTCTAAAACACTCCCATCGACAAAATTGTTCCAGCTCGCGTATTACTCATTAGGGTCAGATTACCCTGGGCCTGGGTGACCTTTGCATTAACATCACCAAAGAGAATTTTGCAAAAGTAAAAAAAAACCTTTTATCATTATTATTTTTTTTAGTCAAAATTTTGGCTATTTTTGAATAAAATTTAGCAAGGAATCAAATGGCTATTTAAAATATTTGTTTTCACTTGTGACTTTTTTTAAAATATGATTTCGCATTATTTTTATTTTTTAATAAATATTGGAACTTTAACCTAAATTTTAAAGGATTGTTAGAAAATTGAAAATTATTAGAGCTTGAAGCAACGAGTTCAAATAATTTCAGTTTTTTGCAGGGAATAGGGACAAAATGCTGAAAACTTTTTAAATTTATAATAGATTATTGAGATTTTTCTTAAAACCACTGAGAAATCTGAAAGTTACAAACCTGCCGAGTCGGTCGATGTACTTCTTTTGCATCATCTCCTCAGGGTTGACACTGGAGGCGCCGCTGTTGCCGCCGCCGATGCCACTCAGAGTGTCCAGGATGGCACCGAAATTGGAGTTGACGCGTTGCTGGCCAGGACTCCACGTGTTGGCCATCGGCGGCGGCGCGTCGATCACCACGCCATCCACGCTGGGCCCGAAGGCCGTGGCCGCAAAGTGGCCACCAGAAACCATGTCCAGGGCGCCGTCCTGCGGGTACAGCGGCGGCGCCGGCACGCGCATGATGGCCTCCAACGGGCGGTCGCGCAGACACTTCAAAACGTGGTTGTCAGACACGTCGACGCTGCAGTTGACGCTGTTGGCCACGTGGCGCGCGAACTTGGACGGGTCGGCCACCAGGGCCCACGGGCTCAGCGACGAACCACTCATCAGGATGGCGCGGTGGAACAACATACCTGCGAATTAGAAGAAGAGGCTGAATTAATATTGTTTTATTTAAAAATGAAATTTTATTCATATTATTTGCATTAATTAAAATAACTACATAAAATTTATTTATTATTTAAAGAAAAGAAAAGAAATATTTATTTCTATACAAAAAAACAATGAAAAACCTTTACATAGTATTATACACTTTTATTTTTATTTTAACAAATTAAAAACAAATAATTCTATTCTATCTGAAAATTAAAATATATAATACATATTTTTTATTTTTTGTAAAATAAAATGCAAAATGAAAGTGGAATCATTTTTGGTTTAATTTTTCTTTCCCTCATATAGTGAAACTAATAAAATATCTGAAGGTAAATTAAGTTTTTCCATTCTTTTTTCCTCATAAACTATAAAAAAATTTATTACAGCATCAAATAGGTTTTTAAACATGACTCGACAACCTTGTATTTCTTGAGGAAAAGTCTCGCCATAAATGTTTATCGCAGCAGATTCATTATTTATACGGCGGAGTTTGGAATTTTTATTTGGCGTAGCAACTAATTTGCCATTCAAAGGTTGGCGAACACCAAATTTGGGGTTATTACCAGGGATGTTTTGTGTGGCGGGACTTGTGGGCACGGTAGCCACCGCCTTAATCAACCTGCCTTTTATCATAGAGCCACACTCTTGTGCACTTTATACCCAGCTATTTTCAACTAATTTGAAAGTCTAATGACACATTTAAAATTTATGTGCGCACCCAAGTTGCTGGTTCACCTCTTTCTCTCGCACTCCCACGTCAGCCTTTCTTTTATTTTTGTAATTTTTGTGAATAATCTGGAGAGTAAAAAGGGATCATACTGGCTTGCAAAAACAGCGGGCGCAAGTTTTAATGAAAAATGACACCCTAATCAGGCGGCGGGCTTAGGTGGATTTTTTAACGAAGCAGCAGCGATCAGAATTAATGCCCAACGGACAAATTACGAGAGGGCTCTCGAAAAGTAATGCGAACTGGCTTTTTACCTTCCCATTATTCAAATTTTCATGGAAAACGAGAAGAGTCACGTCCGAGCTGTAACTCTTTCCTCCAAAAGTGAAAATTGAACAGGAGAGAGAGACTGAACGGACTTGATATCAAAGTTAATAAAATCCGACTTTCCGCCCGATCAGATTTTCGGAGAGGTTTTGCGTGGACGGCCCTCAATTGTGTCAGGACGAGAGAGCAGAGAACCGCAAAATGTCAAAAAGTATTAATGGTGCGCTGCTTGCGTAAATTTGGCCTCCTGCTGCTCGGGGAAGGCGCGTGCACCAACTTTTCACACTCATTTGCATATCAATGTAACACACACAGAGTGAAGCTTAATTAATAAATTGGTAATGGTGTCGGGGCGAAAAATTAATTAAATAACCTTCCGCACTTGTGCAGCGGCGGCAGCACTTTCTGCTGTGTGCCTCAAATGGGATTCCCTTGTTTGTCCGAAATTATGACTGAATAAAAAAAATTGTTATTATTTCTCCTTATTTACCCACAAAATAGCAAATAATCGAGAATGCGAGAAAGATAAAGGATTACAAAGACGTGTGAAAATGGTTTTTCAAATTTAAAATGTATTTTTTTTTCTATCAATGCCTTGTTGTGAATTTTGACGTTTTGAGTCAGAGTATTATTTGACACTAAAATCAACTTTCTTAGACTTTCCCCGGATAAAAGGTTTTTTAATTAAGGTATTACGACTATTTTGAAACTTAACACTGATTATTTGTAATTTTTCAATTATTATCAATTGTTATTATTATTAATTTTTTACAATGCTTCGGTAGTACATATTTGGTCACTTCAAGCAAATAATTTGATTTGTAGAAAAAAATCACTAATTTGAATGCGAGTGCTTTGTCTACTTCAAAATCTGTATCGTCATGCATATTTGAACACAAATAAAATTGAGACAATTTTTTTTAATAAATATAAATATAACAAATAAAAAAAAAAAATTAGGGTATAATATGACTCATCAGAAAAAAAATGACATTTTTGTGTATCTTTTGCTTGTTTCGTGTCTGCAAAGTTATTGTCTTTTGGTTTTGGTTTAGATAAGAATACAAAATACATAAATAAATTGAAGGAGAGTGAAAATATTAAGCATCCAAAGTATCCTCTTAGATTCAATCTATCCGATTTTCTTATTTAATTGATAACCCCTTTTGTTCAAAATTTAGTTTCAATACATCTCTAACACATTCATTAAATATAAAAATCTGATTTCAGACAAGTGAATTTCTGTTCAGCGACGGCGACCCGTCAAAAGTCCGTGCGTGGGCGTTTAATGAACGCGGGCTTAATTTGCTGGAGAGAGTGAGGGGGTGAAATGAGACGTCAGAAGAGAGTTGAGTGAAAACGGACGTGGCGCGCGATAAGTTGGCGGGACAAAGCGAGAGATACTGTTTGGGCAGCGAGTCGGTCGGACTTTGAAGTCGCGGCCGCCGGTAATTAATTTCAAGCTATTTCACAGAGAGCGGCCGTACATGTTAAGGAGATCTTTGTTGTTTCGCCGCCTGGCGATAAAGAGCCTGGAGTGTTTGAGAAAAAATCGATATGCGCGCCCGGCCGGGTGCTGCGAAACAAGCACTTGCTGCTTTTCGCACTCGGCCCGCTAATATGCAAGCGAGCGAAATTTGCGCGTCTGTGTAAATAAATCCTGGCAAAGCACACGCCGAATATCATCTGCGAAAGCCCTCGGCTTGCTTGCGGTTGCTGCCGCAAAGGGACCAGGAGAGGCGCCCCTTCCTCTAATCCTCCGTTAATTAGTGACAAAGGGTGGCGCCGCCGCTTACTCTCTCTATATCTCTCTCAAAAATAGTGAATTACGCTCGCTGCAGATTAAACGTGCCGCCGGTGGAAATGTATAGAATTTTCGATTGCGTCAAAGAGCAGAGTTCATTTCTGCGGATCGGGCCTGATAGTGACGGATTAATTCGCGAGAGATGGAACGTGATAAGTCCCTCTTTTTCACGGTGATTTTGATTTTACAAGTTTTTGCTCGCCAAACTTAAGTGGGTGCGGTTTATTTCGGACGTGTAGCATGATTTATACTCATTTGTGTTTGTGAATTGCAAAAACGAGGTTGTTTATGATTAATGGTTGTGTGTCACTTTTTGGAAACTGACGTTCCTTAGAGACCTCGGAAAGTCAAATAAGAGTGTGCTTCTAAAAATGGTGCTCTTATGGAGATGGCGTAGACTGTTTTTAATGCACTCTATGCACTATGAACTTTTACCAACCTTACATGAGAAACTCCATACTCAAATATTTGACTTTATAACATTAAAAAAAAATCACCAAGTAGTAAATTTTAACGTAATAATGATAAGATCTATAAAGATTTTGTTATATATTCAGTTATATTTTTATAGCAAACAAACATTATTAAAAAGTGATCAAAAATTTCTACCGTTTTATCATTTTAATCAACGAAGTATAAAAATTAAAGTGAACTATTCTTTTATTTTACAAAAATGTTTGCTCTGAATATTAAAACTAAAATGAAATACGTGAAATCAGACTTTCTGCCAGAAAATAATAAAAATATAAAACCAAAACCAAAGTTTCTAAAAAAGGCGTGAGCTTCAAGGAGACGTTCTTCAAAAGAAAAGCAGACCTGTCCTCGTTGAAATAAAAAGTCAATATAGAAAAAAACCGCCTTTCAAATATTGGTAATGAACTGCTATTTGAAGACAAGAAACAAGAAATAATTTTTAAAAAGTTATCAGTTTATAATTATTCAGCGTTCAGCGAGTTTGGGTCTATAATTTGGTATGTTGTAGAATTTGTAATTTTTTTAAGTTTTATAATTCATCTTAATAATTTTTTTATAGTAGTTTTTTTTCAATCTGCTGATTAATATATTTTTCTTGCTTGACGATCTTAAAAAAAATCTGATCAAGCGCCTTTTAAATAAAATATCTTTTCAGCGAGGGCAAGCCAGTATTTTCTCTCCATACATCAAGTTAGTTTCATTTAAATGTAACTCTCGGGTGAATAAAAGTCTACAGGATCAATGTTGGAGGGTTTATTTATGCGTAAGCGGTTGCGACACGCAAGGGAGAACAGTATGCAGAGGGTTGCTTTTGATACAAGCAAGATGACAGCGAACTCAAAATAAACACAATAAACTCGACACCCAATGGATGGATGAATGAATGAGTTGCTCGCTCGGTAATTGGTCTGACAAGTTTGAGCAATGATCTCTTCATCAAAGCACACACGTTGTGGGGGTGGTGTTGTTGGCAATCTCCGCGAACACACGCATATCTCTTTTATATATGCGAACAAAGGAAGAATCGCTCTCATTTCTCCACACAAAATCGATGTTGATCCGGCTTATTGTTCGGCCCGCAAATTGCCAGAGTCATGCGATGCCACCGAATATTTCCAACATGGAAATGAAACGACTCGTGTTCACCTCTCTCGGATTTGGTAATCTGCCTGTTTGTCAGCCAGAGGAAGCATATATAAGGAGATTTCACTCCGACGACGCGCTAAAAATTGCTTTTCACCTCTCGTTCGTCGCTTGCTTTCAACGGTGCCGGGGCTGGATTTATTGATTCCTTGATGGGGTGTGTATGTGAGTGTGCCGCCTGGTAATGAATAATGGAACAAAGAGCGCCGAGATCGCATCTTTTCGCCTCTCTCGCACTTTGATGCAGAAATTGGTTCGTTCCTTCGTGGCATACAATAGGTGTGGAAGAGACGCCGTTCGATTTGGCGGGAAATTGGAGTCGTCTAATTATATGTGACGGGGTGCGAATAATCTGCCGCACACCAGCCGCTCTCTCTCTTCTCGGTTTCCGATTAGAGACGCGCCACTTGCAAAATTGAAAACGTAGGAAATCTCTGCCTACGCTGACGAAGGGAAATTGCTTTTCCCGAACGACGCAAGAAAATAAATAAATAAAAGAGAGAGGAAAGACAACTTGTTCCGCCCTGTGTTGAATAATTGCTCATTTGCTCTTTTGACCTTTG